GCACTTATCTCATTCATCTTTAGAAGTATGCTATGTTTTAGTAGCCCTTTTAGGCTTCTAGAAGCTGAGATTTTTTCCATACATATCAAATTTCTTGGATATGTTCTTTTATCAAAACCCAAACTAGAATAGTTAGAGGAAATGTTGCATTTTTGTAGAAAAACATAAGCAACTGAGACTCTGTGGTAAGCATCATGCTTTTGAGGCCTGCCCTTATAAGTTACAAAACAGTGTGTTTTGGGCTGGCTTTTGGCATTCAGGAAACCCAAACAGACAAATGTAAAGTAAACATACTCTCCAGTTTCCTGTGGGACCCAGTTCTCCTTGTAGCTCAAGCCATGTTGTTCATACAGGTTGCCATGCCAGAAGTGGAGTGTGTCTGAGGTGCTGGTGCTCTCCCATCTTTGCAGCTGTTGGTGGTTGGGGTGCTTAATATGTGTTAAAGCAGAACTCTTGCTTTATGGCTGCAGATTTATCATCTTCCCTTAAAGCAGCAGTGGCAACCCTGCCCTTTGTTTTGATTGTGGACTTCAGGCAGCTTAAAAGATACAGGTCCATCATGTACAGAACAAAACCTAGCTTTTGAGAGTCCAGCAAAGTTGTGTGAAATCATTCTGTAGGTGACTGTGGTTGTTATTGCACCTGATGTTATAACAGCCCTCTCTGTTATTGTGAAAAATAAAGTTTTGATGCTACAGTCTTCAGCTCTAAGAGACAGTGACTGGGAGGAAAACAAAAAAATTAAATAAATTTTGTTTACAAGAAGACTATTGATTTAATATTTGTAAAGTAATTGTAAGTGATCTTGAAACAGCCTTGTTCTAATCCTGTTCCTGAATCTCCCTGCCAGTTTTTGTGACTTTTTATTATTATTTTTTTATGGATAACAGAGTTTTTCTCTTAAAGAAGCATGGAAACCTCATATGTTTAGAATAAGCAATAAGCACATGTAATGTACTATCAAATGCAAAGTAGACATACCAGAGGAAAAGAAGACTTTCCTCTTGTTTCCCCTTCCTGGCTTAACCTTTATTACATGCAAGGAGGGAAGAACAATTTTTTGCAGAAACTTATCATCTTGGTGCTGCTGACTGGAAAAAAAAATTCTTTTCTTATGTATTTTATTACTGCATTTTCTTGGAAGCAATGGATTATGGTCCTAGAAGTCCTGTTACTCTGCAGTAAGTGGGCATTGCCTCTGCTGTGATTGGGATACATGCGTTTCTGCTAGCAGTCTGCACATGTGCATCATTGCAAGTCTGCAGAGAATTTGAAGGACAGGCACTGGAGCCTAGGTATGGGGAAGCAGTAATGGTTGCTTCATTAACTGCCTCCTCATTCCCTAGGGGGAATCAACACCTGAATTTAATCTAGACACCAAGCCAGGACCAATCAAGATACAGGCAGATGTTTTTTTACCTCTGAACTTCTCTGATTTAAAACTCAGTGTTGTTTTATTGTTATGTTTTATAGGGATAGGGCTAGTTTTTCTTAATTGCAGTGATAAATATAATCATTGTTGAAGGGGGTTGGTGGGTGTTCATTTGTACAGAAGTCTTCGCTTTTGGCATTTGGCCTGAGGAAGGAAGGTGGCCTGTGCCTTGGCTTTCTGCATCTCTTGGGATAAATAAGCCCTTGAGAATGATATAATAGTATCAGTATATGGAATAGTAACTAATATTTTAAATACACAGCTGCTAAAAAGGGGGGGGGGGCCAAATTTGGATGAAATAACTGCAGAGACTGTGGACCGGTGTGAAAGGAAACAGCTGTGATGTTCTATGGTACATATTGTATGTTTTGTTGTATGTGGCAGAATTGTTTCTTGTGGTGTGCTATTTCAGCTTTATGACGTGGCATTCAGCACATTTAAGAGGGCATGTGCTTTCCTGGTACGCTGCTGCTGTTCGTGTTCATTGTTTTTCTTTGGGGATCAGAATGATAATTGATTGTTGTGATATTATAATATCTTTCAATTATTGTTTTTCAGTCTGTGAAAACGTGCTGACTTTTCCTTGCTGCTGTGGTGTGCTTTCTCTCTTCTTCCCTGCTCTTAGTTCTTGATGTACAGTATTGTGCACAGTGAGATCCTACCCAGTGTAGAGTAGGACCTTTAAAGTAAGGACAAGAATTTTGGGATTTCAATCACAAATGTAGCAAACTATAATTTAACCATTCCCTGTAGCGAGTAGGATTTCCACAGTATTAAAAGGAGGCCTTGAATAACTCTGCTTTTTTAAAAAAATATGTATTTATTTGGTTGCCCTATAGAAAAGAACTTTTTTTAGTCAGGAGAAGAAACTTCCATGATTCAAATTCAGCTATGCTCCTAAACCAGGACAAAACTCTTCTCTCAGTCACTTTTTGTGAATTACCCCACCTTTCTGAACTGAATTGGAGAATGTCGTGTATTGTTTAAAGTAAGGCTGTAAGAATAGTAATAATAGGGGGAACAAACCCCCCCAAACAGTAGTGGGTTTTCTGTTGCAATACTTGGTCATCTAAGGGAATACCTGTTTTACCACTGCTCTAAACCTTTGCTGGTTCCTGATCTCTCATGCTGCAAGCATCAAGCTGAAAGAAACACTGAATTTTGTTTTCCTTGTTGGCCTTTGTTCTAATCTTCTAATTTTCTGCAGCCATGTGCAACACCAGAAGATTTCATGGGCATCATGTTGCCTGCTAATTATGTATCATGTTAAGCAGCTGGACAGTTCAGCAACTGTGGGATAACATCTGGATCAATGACATGAAATGTTGATATATACCTTATTGATTTTGAAAGGTGCTGATAGTGGACATATGTTGGTAAAGTACTTTGAAATGCCTGAAATAAAAATGCTATAAAAGTCCAGGATTAAAAGGATAATTCTGTGTTACAGCAGTAGGCAAGACAATAAGTAATAGGGGATTAAAATGACAAATAATGCTTAAATAGTTTAGTGTGTAATAGCTTCATCAAATGTGAATGACACTTCTAACCTTAATGCTTGTTAAATCCAAGGTATTTTTAAAGACAAGAACCCAACAAGAAATGAATGTACATTTGCTGTGTGGTTGGTTGTTATTCTGAAATCTTACTGAGAAACCTAATCATGAGAAGCGGGAAGGACAGGATTTATTAAGTGTTCTCATCTATGACCTCATCAATTCAGAAATGCTTTTTTGCTGTGCTTTCCAGTGTTTTATCTAATTTAGTCTTAACTTCTCTTTCTGTGGGAAAAATATTCTACTTTATATTGTACCTTGCTGTTAAGAAATGTTTTGAGGCTCAGCCTATGCTACCCTCTTCCCTAAGTTCATCCTATTCTTTCATTTATGCCCCTTAGAGTCATGCTGTGTAATTCTTCTCCCTACTGCATGGTTTACATGATAATCCTATTTCTCCATAGCTGCCACCCAGCCAAGCTGACTTATTTAGGTTTTTCATCCTTTTTCAGTGGATATTGAAATGTTTAGTTTAGGAAGCAAACTTAGCTGTAAAACAAAGATATTTTGTTTAAGAGCAACTGAGCATCTCTTTGTGGTCACCCCTGTATCTTTTTTGCTGACTTGTGACTTCCCATTTGCCATGTTGGTTACAAATGTCTTGCTAGAGCAAAGTTTATTCTTCTCTTAAGTTTATTTTTGTCATATATGAATGTGTATGTGAATATGTATAAAAAGCATGTGTAAATACATATAAAAGCATGTGCACAGTCATGTGGTGGTAATGGTGAGATGGGTTGACCTTGGCTGGATGCCAGGTGCCA